AGGACGGGGTGGGGCGCCCCCTGTCCCGACTCCGCCTTCTGCCCCTCCTCCGCTTCCCCTTCCCTGCACTAGCCCCAAGGGAGGGTTTGGGTGGGTGGGGATTCTGGGCCTGTGGCAAAGTCACAGAAGCTTTGGCCGGGCGGCGAAGCAGACAGACGCGCCAGGCGCCCCGGGGAGGGGCGTCACCAGGGGCGGAGGAGGAGCTGGAAGAGGAGGTGGAGGAGGCCCTCTCGGCCGAGACCTCTCAGAGGCTCTGACCTCAGGGGCTAAGAGATTATCTGATCGCAAGAGGGAAGCCAGGTTCCTCCACCTGGCCTGCCTGAAGAGGCCACGACCCTGGAGGATCCTAAACCCACAGAGCCAGGGGCCCCAGCACCATCCCGGGGGCCTAAAGCAACAGTCCCAAGGACCACTGCACGGCCTAGACAACAAGCCCTGGGTCAGAACAACAGCCCTTCCAGCATCTGCCTCGACAGCAGCCTCAGGCACCAGTCCCAACCCCCAGCCTGCCTGCCAGTCCAGGTGACATGCCGGTGCTGTCCACGCCACGGTCCTCGCGGGTGATCACGCTGAAGCGTACAGCTGTGGTCCTGGCCCTCACAGCCTATGGACTCCAGAAAATCTACCCTCTTGTGAGGCAATGCCTGACTCCTGCCAGGGGCGCCCAGATGCCAGCTGGGGAGCCCACGCAACAAGCTTCTGGGGCCACGGCAGCCAAGACTGGCATGAACCGGGTATTCCTGCAGCGACTCCTGGTGCTCCTGAGGTTGCTGTTCCCCAGAGTCCTGTGCCGGGAGACCGGGCTGCTGGCGCTGCACTCTGCGGCCCTGGTAAGCCGAACTTTCCTGTCCGTGTATGTGGCCCGCCTGGACGGCAGGCTGGCCCGCTGCATCGTGCGGAAGGACCCCCGGGCCTTTAGCTGGCGGCTACTGCAGTGGCTCCTCATCGCCCTTCCTGCCACCTTCATCAACAGTGCCATCCGCTACCTGGAGGGCCAGCTGGCTCTGGCCTTCCGCAGCCGTCTGGTGGCCCATGCCTACAGCCTCTACTTCTCGCAGCAAACCTACTACCGAGTGAGCAACATGGACGGGCGGCTACGCAACCCTGACCAGTCTCTGACAGAGGATGTGGTAGCTTTTGCCGCCTCAGTAGCCCACCTCTATTCGAACCTGACCAAGCCACTCCTGGACGTGGCGGTGACCTCCTACACCCTCCTTCGAGCCGCCCGTTCCCGCGGAGCTGGCACAGCCTGGCCCTCAGCTATCGCTGGCCTCGTGGTGTTCCTTACAGCCAACGTGCTGCGGGCTTCCTCTCCCAAGTTTGGGGAGCTGGTGGCCGAGGAGGCCCGACGGAAGGGGGAGCTGCGCTACATGCACTCTCGCGTGGTGGCCAACTCAGAAGAGATCGCCTTCTATGGGGGCCATGAGGTGGGGCAGGTGGGGGGCCGGTTATACTGGAACGGAAGTGGCTAGGAGCCCCACAGCAGGCAGCTGTGAGTAGGGCCAGCCCAGTACCTGCTCGGGCTGATGTTAGAGATATGGGTGGGCCGTGGGACAGGCCTGCGGTTGAGTTTTTTGTGACCACAATCTTAAGGTGCAGAAACGCAGAGATGGGCCTACTGGGCTGGAACTTCCCAGCATTGGCTGCCTGCACCCTCCAGGCCACTTCTGCATGCTTGGTGAACTGTCCTAGCCCTGGCACTTTGGAGTCTAGCTGTTTGAGAGCTAGTGCCCAGCTCACACCCGTCCTGCAGTCCAGCACCCCTGCAGCCAGCTGGGAGGAAACCGGCCGTGCAGTCCGGGATAGGGGTGGTGGGGTACAGCCTGCTGCCTGGCCTCTTGCATCGCCGGATCCTTTGAAGGCCCGCGTCCGGCAGAGCTGGCCGGCTGGGCTGGCGGGCTTTATAGGCATGACTCAGCCCAAGCAGAGGTTAACGAGCTGCCATGCAGCGGCTGGTGCTCTGGGTGAAGGCTGTCAGAGCCCCAGGCATGCCGGCCTAGGGACGGACCGGCTTGGCTAGCAGCTGCCCTGGCAGACTACTGTCTTAACTGCCTGCCTTCGTCCCAGCACTAGGGATGCCTGGCCCAGCCTTGGCCTCGGCGGGACCGGCTTCCTGCCCTACCCCCAGGCCTCCCTGCCCCCAGTGTAGCCGCCCTTCCGCCTTGGGACCCAGCCGCTTAACTCAGCCCCCGGACTGCCGGTGGACTGGGACCGGGGAGCAGACTGACGCTGGGAGAGGTTACTCCAGGCCAGTGCAGCTTTATTGAGGGAGCAGCCCCTCCCCTTCCTTGTGCCTGGGGCTGCAGCTGCCTCAGGCCTGCTCTGGCAACTGGTTTCGGTTCCTGGTGCTTGGGGCGGGGAGGAATACCAAAGCACCCATCTCTTGAAGTCCTGTGTGCTTCCTGGGTCGGTGGCCTCTTGCCCCTGACCCCGTCTCATTGGCTGCTTAGCTATGGGGAATTAGACTTATTCCTGACTTTCGGCAAGGATTTGTCCCTGCATTCTGTCTGCAGAGAAAGGTTGGGGCCAGGCCAGATTGCAGACTAGAAAAAGAAGGGCCGGGCCTTCACCATAAGCTCTCTTCCCTTATCCTATCTCACATGCTGGGCTGCAGGGCCTTGACAAGCAGCCAGGGCCTTGGGTGAGGTGCTTGGCACCGATGGCCTTGGCAGCTGGAGGCACAAGCCTGGATTACCAGGGTGCTCCAAGGTGGTGCACTCACTTCAGGAATGAGAGACTAGGCCTGAGGAAAGCTGGGCCATGTGTGAGCCGGCCCAGGCAGAGGGCACTGAAGAGAGAGCACTGGTACTCGGAAGGGCTCCCTTTAGGCTGGCTTCAGGAAATAGCACTTTCAGGGAGTTCAGTTCCTGGGACCCAGGGCCCCTATGTACATCCTTGGACTGCCTGTCTATGCCTCAGCTGGAAAGCTGTATGAAGTGATGGGCTGCCACAGGTGGGTTGATTACCCTTGCTGTGCTGGCACATGGCCCAGTCCAGTCCTACCGGGCTGATGTCCTGTGGACAGAGACCTAGACTCAGGTCAAAAATTTGTGGCAAAAGCCATAAATTGACTGGCAGGCAAACAGCAGGGTATCTTTTGTTAGAATTTCGGACCAGGCTGCTTATGTGAATGCACATGTCTGTGTATACTGTGGATATAACCTGCTTGAGAGAACAAAGCAAATCTTAAGTCAGCATCATTTGTAAGAATCTGCTTCTCAGACTAAGGCAAGAGGATCAATGTGAATTCAAAGCCAGCCTGGACTATAGAATGACATTCCAGGTACATAGTTCTAGGCCTGCCAAAGCTACATAATGAGACCCTGTCTTTAAAAACACAAACAGAAGGTTTGGTATTCTAGGGCTGGGGATGTAGTTCAATGGTAGAGTTGCTTACCTAACACGAATAAGGCCCTAGGTTCAATCTCCAAGTACCTCAAAACAACAACAACAAAAAGAGTCTGGTTCTCTTCACAGCCTTGCCAGTGCAGTCCACATTCCTGTGCCACTTGCTCGCCTCCAGGCAGTATGAGCTTGGACAGGTCACTTTGACTATCTGGGCTTCGGTGTCCCATAATGGACATGAAAATACACACATGCAATGAAGTGTGTGACAGTCAAATGGAGAGAGAAGTGGAAACACTCAACAACCAGTGCCAGGCTGGGCATGGGGAGGCAGAGCAATCCGAGACCCCATAGCCACCCTGCCATGAGCCTTTCCCAGTACCTCTGGACTCTTCTGAGAATTGTCTGACTGCATCTGCTTGAGAGCGTACTCTCCTGGTTTTGATGGGAAAGTGCAGCTCAAGTTTCTCACAGAAAGGAACTCTGGGAAGGTAGCAGGAGATGGGGCCTAAGTAGGCTGAGACTGCTGATTGAGTTCTGCAAAGCCAAGAGCCTCACCATTGGTTATCCTTCTCTTTGCTGCTCTTTGCTTAGAGTAGAAAAGCCATTGCTCATGATTTCCAGGGTAGGGAGATTCTGGGAGGGAGCCCAAAGAAATGGGGTCAGTGGAAGATGAAAGGGAACTGCCCTCAGGGGCCTAGATTCAGAAACTGCCCAGGCAGGGTACAGGGAGGTGAGTGATAAGTGTCCCAACCAGGACAGTAATTGAAATGGAAGGGGAGCTGCCCCATAACACCAGGCAGTCCCGTACTATCAGCAGTGTTTGAGACTTGATCCTGCCCCAATTGGCTTTGTTGTGGTCATCAAAGAGTATAGGATGTGTGAGTGGCACTTGGGGGCTCTCACTGCCCCCCCAGGAGTTGCCACAAGACTTCTGGGTGTCTGTTGCCCCGGCAGGTGGAGTTGGCGCTGCTCCAGCACTCCTATCGGGACCTGGCTTCACAGATCAACCTCATCCTCCTGGAACGCCTGTGGTATATCATGTTGGAGCAGTTCCTTATGAAGTACGTGTGGAGTGCCTCCGGCCTGCTTATGGTGGCCGTCCCCATCATCACGGCCACTGGCTACTCAGAGTCAGGTGAGAGCCAGAGCTCCAGGAGCTGGGCCAAGGCCCTGTCTTCCTGTAGCGCTAGACACTAGACTTACAAGGGTCCAGAGCTCAGCCAGCACACCTGCCCTTTCTACTGGATACACTGAGGCCCTCTGGCCTTGAGATTATCAGAAGTTAGGCTCTCCTCAGAGTTCCTCACTGGCTTTCTCCCTGTATGCATCTCATGGTTCTTGGTGCCAAGAAACCAAGACTAGCACCACAACTTAGGACCACAACATGCTACTTCTCCACATGTGTGTACCCTTGCCCACTTGTCTCTGTCTTCAGCCCAATTGTAACTGGAGGTAGGATAGAGACTGCCTTCATCACCTTGGTGTTCTCCAAAGCTGCAAGGGTAGATAGAGCTCCCTGCTTTGAGGGGGAGTGGGAGGACTGTGTTCCCTGTTCTTTTGGTCATGGGGCCTAAGTAGGCTGAGACTGATGACTGAGTTCTTTATTTCCATTTGTTCCTCTACTGCTTTGCAGTTTCTTCTTTCAATTTTTAGTGGTTGCCCTTGAGAAGGTTAGCCTGCATTCTTGAAAGTGTTCTTAGGTTAGTCAATAGCTCCCCTCCTCCTAAACCTTAGAACACTTCACCTTGGAGAAGTCACCTCCAGCGCACCTCTCTTTGCAACCCAGCCTGAAGTTTAGTTTCACTTTTGGGGGGGGTGTTTTTTGGTCTTGCGGGGGGGGGGTTGTCTTTTTGAGACAGAGTCTACCCTGTAGCCCCAGCTGGCCTGGAACTCACTATGTAGACCAGGCTGGTCTCAAACTCACAGAGATCTGCCTGCCTCTGCCTCCTGAGTGCTAGAACAAAAGGCATGTAGCACCACGCCTGGTTTGATTCCAAAAAAAAATTTTTTTTGGTCTTTTTGAGACAAGGTCTCCCTGTAGCCCCAGCTGGTCTGGAACTCACTATGTTGACCAGGGTGGCCTCGAACTCACAGAGATCCGCCTGCCTCTGCCTCTGCCTCCTGAGTGTTGGGATTAAAGGCGTGCGCCACCACGCCCAGCTTTGATTACAAAATTTTATGCAGTGTATTTTGATAACATTATGACCCTCTTCTTCCCTCTCCAGGCCCTCTCCAGGCTATGTGTTTTGTTTTTTGAGATAGGGTCTCTTACAGCCCAAGCTGACCTTGAATTCACTCTGTAGGTGAGGGTAACCTTGAACTCTTTTATTAATTTTTATGTGTAGGCATGTTTTGCCCTCATAGAAGTGTATCATGTGTGGGCAGTGCCTGTGGAAGCTAGAAGAGGGCATCAGGTTCCCTGGAACAGGAGTTATGGATGGTTGTTAGCTGCAATGTGAATGCTGGGAACCGAACCCGGATCCTCTCCCAAAGCAGCCAGTGCTGTTAACTGCTGACCCATCTCTAGCCCCCGACCTTGAACTCTATATCCTTCTACTTATCTCCTAAATGATGGGATTACTGATGTGTACCACCACACCTATCATATGCTTTTCATTCTCTGCTATTAGTCTGATGGGTGCATGTGTAAAGTTACCCATGTGTATATTGATTTCTCTGTCAGCATTCCCCTCTTACATTTCAATCCTTTCTGTGTTCCTTCTTTCAGATACACATCTTTCAAAAGTTCACTCTTTTTTTTAATACTTTTTTATTGATTCCAATTTTTTTGGCCTATTTGAGGCAGGGGCTCTCTGTAGCCCCAGCTGGCCTGGAGCTCACTATACAGACCAGGCTGGCCTTGAAGTCACAGAGATCCCCTTGCCTCTGCTTCACAAGCGCTGAGCTTAAAGGGGTATGCCACCAGGCCTGGCTTGGTTTCAAAATTTTATGCAGTGTATTTTGATAATATTTAGACTGCCTTCTCTCTCCAGGCCTCCCCCCCGCACTGCCAACTAAAGGAATAGATAAAAGCTAACTCACAGAATCTCTCTATGAAGCCCAGGCTAGCCTTGAACTTGGGATCGTCCTGCCTTGGCCTCCCCAATGCTGGGATTACATGTAAGCACCACTATGCCTAACCTTTCAGCAAAGGATTTATCATGGAACATTTTCAATTATTTTGTTGTCTGAAAATGTCTTTATTTCACTCTTATTCCTGAGCTAAAGCTAGGTTGGACATGGGAATTTAGGAGATAGTTCATTCCTCCCAGTCATTTGACAATAGTTCATTGTCTTCTCACATCTTCCGTAGCTGTTAAAAATCTGTCATCAGTTTAATTATCGGTAATATGCCTCTTCTCTCTAGGTACCTTTATCATTTTCTTTGTCTTTGGCGTTCTCTAGCTTCACTGCAGTGTGTTTAGGTGTGGGTTCCTACTTGTCCTGCTTCAGACTTGCTGTATGTCCTTCAAATATTTAGGCTTTCAATTTTCTTGCTCACTAAATTCTCCTGTTCACCTATTTTTTCCTCAGCCATGACTAAATTGAATTTTTTTAGATATTCCAGTGATTATTTTTGTAATGTTTGATTCTACTTCAAATAGAAATTTGAAAATGGATCTTTTCTTTTTTTAAAAGATTATTTTTATTTTTATTCATGCGTATGTGTGTATATGTGTGTGCCACGGACTACAGCTCTCCTGGAGGCCAGAAGAGGGCATCAGATCCTCTAGAGCTGGAATCACAAGTGGTCACCGTCTGGGTGCTGGGAACTGAACTCTGGTCCTCTGCAGGAACAGCAACTGCTGTTAACCACTAAGCCATCTCTGTAACCCCTAGAACCTTTCTTTTAAAAAAATTTTTCAGACACTATGTAGCCCTGGCTGGCCTGGTGCTTGGTATTTAGACTAGACTGGCCTTCAACTCAAAGAGATCCACCTGCCTCTGCCTCCCAAATGCAAGGATTAAAGGTGTATACCACCATACCCAATCAACATTTTTTGAGAGAGAGAGAGAGAGATTGAGAGATAGAGAGAGAGAGAGAGAGAGAGAGAGAGAATGAGAATGAATAACCCATGGGAGTTGGTTCTCTCATACCATTTCTAGAGCTGGAACTCAGGTTGTCAGGCTTGGTGCTTTACCCATTGAGCCATCTTGCTGGTCAGAAGTTAGCTTTTTTGTTTGGTTTTGGTTTTTTGGTTTTTGAGATGGGGTCTCCTTATCACCCCAGCTGGCCTGGAACTTGCTATGTAGACCAGGCTGGCCTGGATCTCACGGAGATTAGTCTGCCTCTGCCTCCCAAGTGCTAAGATAGAAGTTATCTTAGAAATTTCAGACTATTTTTTTTTGTGATGCTGAGGATCAAACCCAAGGCCTTGAACATGGCAAACATGTATGCTCCAACTGAGGTACACCCCCAGTCCTTGGGGTAGGTGGGTAGATTGGTTGATTGGTGGTTTGTAACAAGGTCTTAAAAGTGTCTGATTTGCTCATCTTTCCAATAACTTCTTTCATGCTATCTATCATTTTCATCATATTCCAGTCTCCATCCAACAGTTTTATTTGGTTTTCTGAAGTTCTTGAGGGTCTCATCTACTTTTATCTTCTGTCTGTTGGTCCTTCCTTACTCCTGGAGGATCATTTCCTTGAGGGAATCACCATGGCCTTTGGGAAGGTATAATTATATCCTTTAGGGGTAATTAGCCATTTGGAGGCCGTGTTCTTGTTCATGTTTCAGCTTGGAAAAAAGGGGTTCCTAAACATTAAGGTAGAATTCACTTGAATCCCAGACACATTGTTCCAAATTCTTCCTGGAGAGCTGTTGATCAGTGTAGCTCGGCCCAAGCAAAGCCAGGAAAGCTTCATGTTTCCTCCGTGCTTGTCTCTCTGGGCATCACAAGGGATCACCTGGTTTTGCTCCTGGGAATTTCCCCTGTTTTCCTTCAAGCACAGCTCTGCTGTAAAAGGAGTTATAGTTCATCCAGTCCAGTGGTGGGGTGTTTTCAGTTGTTTGTATGTATATCTGGCCTGACTTGTTTCAGAAACACATGGCTCTCCAGTTTTCTTCCTGCTTGAGTTTCCTCCTTGGAGCTCCCCCTCAGTTGCCTGTGTCTTTGTCTCTGAGTGACCTCTAGGAGGAAAACACTAATTCTTAAAGAATACACCTTATGGGTGGCATGGGTACCTGAGCCAGTCTGCACACATCACTCCAAGCACATGGACTGAGGAAACTAGCCCTGAGGAGTTATCTATATCCAATCTCTTCATGGCTAGAACTAGGCAGATCATTCATAGCAGTCCCCAAACCTCCTCCTTTCTCTGAAGACCTAGAACTTTTTGAAGCATCTTCTATGCCAGGCTTGTGGGAAATGCAGCAATGCATGAGCAAAGAACATGTGCTGCCCCTGGTCCTCCTTTAAAAGATGCACAGAGGAAGCTCCCATCTCCTTTGCTTGGCTCACTTCTACAGTGGCCTCCTTTTCCCCTGAATACCAGGTATGCCTTTGGAGCTGCTGCACACTCTTTTAAGAATGTTCAATCCTGACTGCCCCTCAGTCTGTACTTCCTTTGTCCTAGCTTTGCTTTGCTCCTCCGCTGTCCCTAGGCCGGACCTTCCTTGACAATCACACTTTTTCTCTGCCATTCCCTGCTTTACTGCTCTCCCAAGTACTGCCTCTCTGTGTGTGCCACTTCTTCGCAGGGGAATCCCACCGCCCCCCTTAGATGTGGCAAGTGATGTTCCATGTACTTCAATGACCTCCTAGGAGGAAGCAGACACTTAGACACTGGGGATGATTTACATCTGCTTTGTTTTTTGTTGTTTGGTTTGGTTTGGTTTTTTTGAGACAAGGTCTCCCTTTAGTCCCAGCTGGCTGTAATCTGCCATCTTTATGTTTCCCTCTGCCTCCCAGTTTCTAGGATTAAATGCACGGGACACAAAGTCCTGCTAGATCTGCTTTGTTTTGCTGGCCTGCAATGGTAGCCTCAGGGCTGGGAGAGGGGTGGGGCTGCCACTGGTCTGTGCTGCTGCTGGCCAGCTTTAGCTTCCCAAAACCCCAAGGGTTTCTGCCTCAAGGTAGGGTGGTAGCTGCTGCCCAAGTATTCTAGCCCTTCACATCCCTTTCCTTTGTCCCA